CCGGGCGTGTTTTGGGGGCTACACTAGTAGAAAGAAAGACGTCTCACCCAGTAGAGGCAGAGGGAAAGTGGCTTCTTGGTGCTTCTAGGAGAGCTGTAGCCTGTGGAGTTGGTGGCCCAATGGACACGTCAGTGAGCAGGGCCACATCCTGCGCATCCAGGCAGAACTCCGTATTCGGTACTATCAATGGGGGGAGGAAGGATGGAAGAATGGGGACCGAACTCCCTTTTAGTGCCAAGGGGAGTGGGGGTGGCTAGATAAGACCCCTGTGGTGTCTGCCCAGCCCACAGTCCACCTCCTTGTCTGGGAGCTAACCCCTCCCACAGACAGAGATGGCCACAGCAGCCGTGGTTTATCCATAAAACCCCATCTCTCCAGCTAAACTGAATGACCCGAGGCTGGGCCAGTAAGATGCTGCCTCTTTTTTAAGTTTTACTGAGACGTAATTTATAGATCACACAATTCACCATTTAAAACTGTACAATTCCATGGGTTTTGCTGTATTCACGAAGTTGGTGATGCTACCACTATCTAGGCCCAGGGCACTTACAGCTCCCCACAAAGAAGCCTGTATCCTTTAGCACTCACTCCCCTTGGTCCCCCCAACAACATCCTCAACCCCAGGACGTCACGAATCTATTTTCTGTCTCTATGGATTTGCTTATTCCAGACATTTCGTATAAAGGGAATCACGCAGTGTGTGGTGTTTTATGACTTTTGCTGAGCGTAATGTTTTCAAAGTTCATCTATGTTGTAACATGTATCAGTACTTGATTTCTTTTGATGGCCAAATAATATGCCATTGTATCAATATGTCACCTTTTGTTTACCCATCCGTCTGTTGATGAACATTTGGGTTGTTTCCACCTTTTTTTTAAGACTATTTATTTGGGAGAGAGAAAGAACGAGCAGTGGGGAGGGGCAGAGGGAGACGGGGGGGGGGGGGGGCGCGGAGAGAGCGCGAGAAGCAGACTCCCTGCTGAGCAGGGAGCCTGATGTGGAACTGGATCCCAGGATCCTGGGATCATGACCTGAGCCAAAGGCACACCCTTAACTGACTGAGCCACCCAGGTGCCCCGGGCTGTTTCCACTTTATTATTAATGATGCTATGAACAGGGGCGCCTGGGTGGCTCACTCATTAAGCATCTGCCTTTGGCTCAGTTCATGATCCCAGCATCCTGGGATCGAGCCCCGCGTCGGGCTCCTTGCTCAGTGGAAGCCTATCAATGAAAAAAAAAAAATGCTATGAACATTTGTGTTACAAGTTTCTATATGAACATATATTTTCACTTCTCTTGGATATGTACTTAAGAAAGGAATTACTGGTCATTTGGTAACTCTACCTTTAACCTTTTGAGAAACTGCCAGATTGTTTTCCAAACCGGCTGCACCAGTTTATGTTCCCAGTAGCGGCATATGACAGTTCCATTTTCTCCCCATCCTCTCCAATGCTTGCCATTGTCTTCTTTTTGATTACAGTCCTTCTAGTGGGTGTGAAGGAGTAGCTAACTGTGGCTTTGATATGCATCTCCCTGATGGCTAATGATGCTGAACATCTTCTCAGTACTTACTGTCCATTTACTTTCTTTGGAGAAGCAGGGAGCCTGATGCGGGACTCGATCCCAGGACCCCGAGATCATGACCTGAGCCGAAGCAGATGCTTCACTGACTGAGCCACCCAAGCGTCCTTTGCCCATTTTTTAAGTGTGTTATTTGTCTTTGTATCATTTTATTGAGTTGAAACAGTTCTTTATATATCTTAGGTATGAGTCTCTAATCAGATATGTAATTTGCAAATATTTTCTCCCACTCTGCGGTTTGTCTTTTCACTTTCTTTTTTTTTTTTTTTTTTTTAATTTATTTGACAGAGAGAGACACAGCGAGAGCGGGAACACAAGCAGGGGGAGTGGGAGAGGGAGAGGGAGAAGCAGGCTTCCTATGGAGCAGGGAGCCCGATGTGGGGCTTGATCCCAGGACTCTGGGATCATGACCTGAGCCGAAGGCAGACGCCCAACGACTGAGCCACCCAGGTGCCCCATCTTTTCACTTTCTTGATGGTGTCCTTTGTAAGACAAAAGTTTTTAATTTTGGTGAAGTTCAACTTATCAATGTGTTGTTGCTGCTGTTGTTGCTTATGCTTTTGGTATCATATCTAAGAAACCACTGCCTTATTCGAAGTCGCAAAGATTTTCATCTATGGTTTCTTCTAAGAGTTTTATAGTTTTAGCTTTTACATTTAGGTCTTTAGTCCATTTTAAGTTAATTTTTGTATACGGTGTGAAGAGGGGCTCCATTTCATTCTTTTGTATGTGGATACAGTCGTCCCAGCACCATTTGTTCAAAAGCTATTTTTCTTCATTGAATTGTCATGACACACTTGTTGAAAATCAACTGGCCACAAATGTGAGGGTTTATTTCCAGACACTATATTCTGTTTCATTGATCTATATGGCTGTCCTCACACCAGTACCAAATTCTTGATTGCTAGAGACTTGTAGTAAGTTTCGAAATGAGGAAGTAGAGTCCTCAAACTCTGTTCTTCTTTTTCAAGACTACCCTTAAATTTCCGTATGAATTTTAGGATCAGTTTAGCAATTACTGCAAAGAAGCCAGCTGGGATTTTGCTGGAGAGGGTTTCCAGTCCCTGTTCAACCCCTCCACCTCTCTCAGATGTTCCCTGAGACACCCTGGGATCTTCTCCATAATTTCTGCTTAACCGGGTTACACTCAGTTTTTCTTTCTTGCAATCAGAAGGATCTTAGCCAGGCACAAGTAAGAATACAATCCTACACACTGTCCCAAACAATCATCTCAACACCACCTCCCCAGGACTAAAGCACTCAAACTGCCCCCCAGATACCCACACTGGGGTCCTAACCTCAACACTGGCCAGTGTCCCCAACCACCTTGTAACCAGTTCCCTTCCAGGTTACATACATCATCTTTACCAGTTAAGCAGGCCCTCAATAAATGCTTGTGAAATTGAACTAGAGACCCAAAATAGCACCAGAAAAAAACCACTCCTACCACTCTACACCCCTTAGTAACCCTGCTTCATGCCTCAATCCCACTCAATCTGTAGATAAGAAGCTCTAGGAAATCAGACATCGTTGTGCCCACTGGACAAAGGATACAAAAACTGAAGTCAGGAGAAGTTAAATGTCTTGCCCTGAACACTATGCTGTGCTGTGGCACCCCCCCCACACACCAACCAGCACAGGCACAGGTGCACCCATCGTCCCACCCCACCTTCAAGAGCTACCACAGAAACTACCTCCCCCTGGCAGTCTTCCGAGATGGCTCCCACTGGACCTCTGACTAGTTCTACACAGAGACAGAAAGCTCTCAGAAAGCAGGGACTGTTTGCCATCCATCCCTGCCCCACTAACTCTTCACCCTCACCCTTCTGAGCAAAGCAGGCTGAAGTGGGAAGCCTCACGCCCGATATTCCAACCCTCAGGAGCGGCTATGCTTTACCCAGGGACCTGTACGCAGGGCACACACAGCTAGTGCTAACAACCAAATGGCATGGCAGAGGGAGGCCGGCCTGGAAAACCTTTCGGCTGAGATGGAGGGTTACAAGCGGGAAAAGCTGCTTCCGCAGAAGCACACTCATTGGAGGAATTTTTCATGCACAAGCTAATTCACATATGGCAGGATCATATTTTGGGCTAGTGACCAATGCTGTTTTTTCTTCCTAGAACTCCCCTCCTTTTCGAATTCTTAATCGCAGGAAACAAACTGAGGGTTGCTGGAGTGGGGGGTGGGGTGGGAGGGATGGGGTGACTGGGTGATAGACACTGGGGAGGGTATGTGCTCTGGCAAGTGCTGTGAATTGTGCAAGACTGTTGAATCTCAGATCTGTACCTCTGAAACAAATAATGCAATATATGTTAGGGAAAAAAAAAAAAGAAGATGGCAGGAGGGGAAGAATGAAGCGGGGGAAATCGGAGGGGTAGATGAACCATGAGAGACGATGGACTCTGAAAAACAAACTGAGGGTTCTAGAGGGGAGGGGGGTGGGAGGATGGGTTAGCCTGGTGATGGGTATTAAGGAGGGCACGTTCTGCATGGAGCACTGGGTGTTATGCACAAACAATGAATCATGGAACACTACATCTAAAACTAATGACGTAATGTATGGGGATTAACATAACAATAAAAAAAAAAGAATTCCCCTCCTTTTCAATTCACTCAGTTGGAGCAGGTGGTTGGTCACTCACTGCCCAGGGAAGGAATGAAGGTGGAAGCTGATTTTGTTAAAGTCTGAAGCAGAAAGGGGATCAGGATGCAAACAAAATGGTTTGGCCAGAAACACACGTGGAAAAGGAGCAAAGATGGTGATGGAAGAGCGGTTGGAAGTTCTAGGAGAGAGGTGCGTCTGCTCAGGGCTTCCCAGACAGATGAGCAGACATATGGCCAAGCACAACAGACAATTCCAAGACCCCAAATCTGGTGCTGAAGCCTCAGGGAGCCCCAGGGCTGGGCTCCCAGGATGACATGTGTCTGGTAACAGATGACTCAATGACCAACTGACCACACGCATGTGCGCAAGCACACGCACGCGCATACACACATGCACGTGCATGCCCTGAGGTGTTTTATGAGGTTCTAGAACTATGTGGCACAATTTTCCAGGTAGGTAGGAATGTCAGAAAGCCTGATGGAACTAGGGCTTCACGTAAAAATCAAGATGATAGGAAACATAATTAGTTTTCTTACACCCCCACGTTATGGCCTAAAAGACACTGCTAAACACATTGCCATCCATGTGACACCTGCTGTTTGCATTCCAGCACCTGTCTTTCTCCAGATGCCCCAGGAATCAAGAGCCTGGTCCAACCTCTCCAATCCAAAGCCCCTAAGACTGAGATGGAGAATCTGACAAACGCAACAGCCCCATTCATGTCTCCCAGAACTCAGGGGGAAATGGGGGCCTCAGAGGAGCCCTGGCCTACCATCAGCCCTGATCACTACATAACAGGAAGTGGCTACTTACTTGACCTTTAGGCTTGCCAGCATGGTCTTGTCGATCCTGCCAAAAGAAAAACAAAGGCTTTGGTCAGTGCTAAGGCTGAAGGCTCCCACCTAGCATCTGCAGGGGAGGTCTCTTGGCCAGTCCAGACCACCAAGCCAACAGGGCCCTGCAGGGGACAGCCACTACAGAGGGGAGCTCTCCTCCAGCCCAGGAAGCAGGGCTGTGAGCTCTGGGAGGGCTGGAGCCACACATAACCCTAGGAGGTAGGTCCTGCTATTCCTCCCATTTTAGAGATGAGGAAACGGAGGCTCAGAAGGATCACATCACTGGCCCAGTCTAAATCCAGGTTCTGACTCCACACCCCAAGATTGCAAGCATGTGTAGACAGCATTTCCCTTCCTTACCCCTGCTCCACAAGAGAGCTCTGCAAGCCGGCTCCATCAGTCACTGCCAGCTAGACATTCAACACAGTGATACTCCCTGGGCTTCCGCTTTGGGAAGATGCCAGCCCCAGGGATTCCCCCACCCCATTCCGGGAGCTGCCAGTCCACACGAGGAGACAGACCCCACACCTGAGACAGAACCCAACAGCAGGCTCCAGTGTGCATGGGCAAGTGGGATGTCAGGCATGGAGCTCAGAGCAGGGAAGATCACATTTACGGCAGACCGTATGGCCCGCAGCCCCTCCATCCCAGCCTGCACCCACCCTTGCTGGAAGACACGGCAGGGCTGCTACGCTTCTATTTTTACGCTCTGCATATGCCAGCCCTTATGGCTGGTAAAAGGGGCCCCTTCCTCTCTCTAGAGACAGAAAGTGGGCGAGATTCCCACTGTCAGTGTCTCCTCTTGCTTAGGGGTCACGACCACCAGTGTCACCCCCACCAGTGTCACCACCAGCCCCATGTCATCAACACCACCTTGTCTCCATCACCATCTGTATCCCCACCACCCCGTGTCATCACCTTCGGCATCACCACCCCCCACCCCGTGTTACCACCACCACGTCAGCATGACCGTCAGTGCCACGTCCAGGATGCTTTCAGCCACCTCCTCCAGGAGCCACCCCCTCTCAGCTTTGCCATAGGCTTCCTATGGGGCAGCCCGGGATAGGAGCAGTGTCAGGGGCCATGCGGGGAGGACACAGAGCTGCCCCAGCAATCACAGGTCAGCACCAAGCCCTTGAGCTGGGAGATGGGATCTTTTCGCTCTGAGCAAACTCCCCACGCCTTCTGATCTCAGTGCCCAGCAGCAAAACAAGCCACACCCCAAGGTTCCCGACCCAGGTCCCTCTCAGCTTGTTCCCCACTGCATCCTGGGCCCCTTTCATGGAGCCTCCACAACTGGTCCCCAAGGGTCTCATGGGGCCCCCCAATCCCTCTGGCATGCAGACATTCCTCCTCTCCCATTCAGCCCACCAGATGGGGGTAGGGTGAATCCAGGGGGCAGATCCCCACAATCTGCTGCAATATTTGTAGCCCAGAGCTACCTAACAATAAGCCCTTACATTTTATATTTTCTCAAGGAATCTCTTTTAATTCTGACAACATCCCTACGTTGTGGATAAGGTGGAAATCCCCCACTTTCCCATGGGGAAACTGAGACCCGGAGAGGGGAAGTATCCTGTCTGAGTTCCTCAATGAGTCAAGGTGGAGCCAGCGCTTAGAACCGGGACTCTTGGTGCAGTGCCCTCTCAACCCAACCACTGCACCACTGGGTGGTACTGTGGGTCACAGCAGTCCCTGGCCCAGCACCCACACCCACACTAGCCAGCAGTCTGTCCACAGGGTCCCACGCTGGGGTGTGGCCCCGGGAGGGCAGGGCCGATGGCCTCAGCAGGACTGAGACCAGAGACAGAGCAACAGCCGGAGACGCTGGGCTTTTCAATTTCAGAAAGCCAAACTCCCTAGGTTCTCCCTGGCGCCTCCTCTCTCCTCCCCACTGCCCGCCTGCCCCACCCCATTCCCTCTCCTCACGTGTCTACCCTGATGCTACTGGTTCTCCACCCTGGCATCCAATGGAGCTTCTAGAATACCAGGAGGCCCTGAGATTCTGGTCACCGTCTGGAGTGGACCAGGGCTCTAGGAATCTGCACTTTCGTCTCCAACCCTCCCAGCTGACAGCCATCTCCAGATGATGCCTACTCTAACCCTCCAACCCCACCAGGAAGCCCTGCCATCCCCTCAAACTCAATGAGCCCCTAACCAAATGCCTGTCGTGGGCACTCAGTCATTCCATAAGCATGGACTGAGCATGCACAATGTGCCACACACAGTCCCCCCGCCTGCCCCACGGCTCCCAGAGGAGTGTGGCTTTTAGGGGAAACCCTCTCTCGGCCGAGCCCCGCCCTGTAGCGATCCCAGCCAGCCTGACAGAATTCGAACCTAGAGCCCACACTCAGCACAGCAACCCCTTGGCCCGGGGGGGTAGGGGGGGAGCCAGGGAGGGCCCGTGAGCAGGCACCAGGCCACACTGTGCCAGCCCTAGCACCATCTCATCCTCACTCTCCCCAGCTGCCAAACATGCAGCACCCACAACTCCTTCCTGCCGGAGGATGGAAGGCAAAGTGCCTGCAGAGAGAAGGGAAAGGGAAGTCAACAGCTGCACCCAGGCAGAAGCGTGACTAGCCAGAGGAGCAGACGGAGCCCACCTCCTCCCAGCCCCTGCGGCCCCTCCCTCTTTCCCTTGCCTGGGTGCCCGCCAGTCAGCCCACCAGCCTCCACACCAGGGCACCCCCAGCCACCTCCCTGCGGCGGTGGGGACCTTTTCTCTGACAACGCCCCATGCCCAGAAGCTGAAAGGAAACCAATCATGAAAACCGCTAGACCCCGTTCCCCAGCTGAGGGGAAGCTGTCAGCAGCTGGTAACCGGAGACAAGTCTTTGACCTCGGTCTCCCCATTTTCTGGCCCCCTGGGGAGGGAAGCGCCTCTCCCTTGTCGTGCACAGAAGCTTAGTGGCAAAAGGGGCCTCGAGGCCCAGGCAAGAGGCTGGAGCACAAAGCCAGCGGCTCAGGCTCGGACAGAGCTGGGATTGGCTGCCGGGGCGGGGGGCACCTCTGCAGACAGGCCTGCCCCTCCCCTCACAGCTCACCCCCCAGCGGAGGCAGCCCAAAGCTCCAGTGGGCCACAGCCGCCCCCATCACAAAGTCACACACACACGATGATGCAGACGGCGGCACACACGGACAAGAGCACACCAAGCTATGGAAGCCCAGGGGTGCAGACACCTGCTCAGAAACGCACACGTGGTCACACGCCTAACACACCTGTGCAGCCGGCCACGCACCTCGTACGTACATGGGCGCCCAGACGGGCAGCTGCAGACATGCCCCCCACACACGCGGCCACAATCAGCACAGACGCACTACACACACACGGGAACGCATGACGAGACACACACATTCAACCCCGGCTGCGCAGGCTTGCTCTCACTGGATCCTACTCCAGGGACAGCGAGGAAAAGCCTGGCATCTGGTAGCCCCTCCATCTCCATCCAGCCGCAGCACGGGAAATGCCCCCCACCCCCCAGGCCTCCGGCACAGCTCCCACGGGCTTCCCGGCTAGGTTCACTCCCATCCCTTCAGCCGCCCTCCCTTGTCACCTACCATCCGAAGCCCCCAAAGGAGACACTGCGCTTCCTGCGAAACATGGTTGTAGCCGCCAGGCCCCGGGTCCCAGCGATGTCCCCGGGGCTGTTGGCCACAGGGCCGTGGCGGCGCAGCCGGGTCGGTGGGGCCACAGGCGTAGCGCGGGACACCCAGCGCGGCCCCTCCCCCATTGCCTGCCCCCCAACCCCAGCACTTCCTGTGGGTGAGGCCGTAGGGCTGGGAGGTGTGTCCTGCCCTCCCGGAGGCCCCCGGACTGCCAGCAGGGGAGTTCGCAGAGGGCAGCTTCCCCACGCCCAGAGGAACCCGCAGCTCCGGAAGGGGCTCGGCTGGCAGATTGCACCACAGCCCGAGTTGGCAGCTCAGTCCCACACAGCCCCGGCCTCCCAGAACCCACGGGGCGGTGAGGCGCACACACACACCATGTGCCTGTGAGGGGGAGAGCCTGCTGGAAGGTTCAGGAGCCTGCAGACACGCCCCTCACACCCGCTCCCTAGGGCTGCCCAAGACGGGCCTCTGCCTTCCTGCTCCACCAGGGCTCAGCACACACCAGACGAACCAGCCCCACGCCTGCACACTCGTGGGCATGAGTACTCATGCACGCACAGGGGCACACGCACGTGCGTATGTATACATGCACAGGATCCACAGGTGCACACAGGTGTGCTCACACAAGAGCCCTTAGACGCCCACGCACACGCGCACACGCACTGCATGTTCCCGTGATCTCGTGTCTCTGTAAGGCCCCATGAGACACAGGCTCACGCAGGGATACAGACCCACGTGCACACGCCCACACACGCAGGCAACACACAAGCCCGCAGGTGCGTTCCCACACACACATGCACAGGCACAGACACCCTCGAGTGTCTAGACAGAGCTCAGCAGGGCCACCCTTCATGCTGGCGAGGGCGGGGGTGGGTGGGTGGCCCCTGTGTGCGAGGGTGTTTCTCTCCTGCTGGAAGTCAAGGCTAGCCCTCAGCTCTGCATGCACCCATGCTGACCGTGCCAGGCATACAGCAGGTGCTCACTAATGACAGCCCAAGGAAGGGTGTGGCACCTGCGCCAGCACGGGCCAGGGTGCCGGGGACCACAGGTGGGGCACCGGGCCCGGGCCCTGCCCTCAGCAGTGGAGAAAGGGAAATACAGTTGCCGTGGCCTTTCTCACTGACCCACCCTCCCCACAGCTTCCTGTTCGGGGCCCACTGACACTCCGGGCGTCAGATGGGAGGAGCCCACCCCAGGTCATGGGCAAAGCGCACGGGCATTTCTATTTTCTGGACTCCTCCGTAGCAGGGAAGGCCACATGGGTAGCAGGTGACTCCCGAGATGGGCCGCAGGAGCAGCTTCAGGGCCCGGCTCAGTTCCGGTCTGCGACTGCCAAGCATGGGGTCCTTTCCTCTAAGGCAGCTGGCCTCTCAGCAGAAGCCTGGTGGCCCTCGGTTCGGCCGCATC